TACTGTCAGTAAAAAAGCCTAAAGCCTAACTCTGAATATTGCTGGATTAGCCTGTAAGAAATTTGCTAAGGTGGTTGTAAAACAAAGCTGTTTTTTACGCAGGGTCTTGTTTACTACGTTTTAAGTTGTTTTATGTCATTTAGAAGGAAATTGTAACCAATTTATGATTGCAAACATGTTTGCATTACTGATTATCTTACTTTAGAATGTCTCTAGGTCTATGTGAGCTTGTTTTACAATAGGGAAATGCAGGGCCTATAAAAAATGAGGTTTTATTAATTATTTCAGAATCTTCCAAGAATTAATTACAATGCATATATGTATTGATTTATTATTATTAACATAGTTCGTTGAAAGCTCAACCATGCAAAGAAAAAAACATAAACAGGATTCAGAAACACTGCTGCTGATGTGCAGTGGAGAAGTTCTGTGGTTCATACATAATCTAAACCGCTTATCCTTCTGGGTCGCAGTGGGGTGCTGGAGCCTATCCCAGCTGTCATTGGGCGGAAAACAGGATACACCCTGGACAGGCCACCAGTCCATCGCAGGGCAGACAGACAGACATACACAGTTACACACACACTCACACCTAGGGGCAATTTTAGCACGTCCAATTGGCCTGACTGCATGTTTTTGGATTGTGGGAGGAAACCAGAGTAAACCCACGCAGACATGGGGAGAACACGCAAACTCCACACAGAAATGACCCTGGTCCCCCTGCCGGGAATTGAACCCAGGCCATTCTTGCTGTGAGGCGACAGCGCTACCCACTGCACCACCGTGCCGCCATCCTGTGGTTCAAATCAGAATTTGAAATTCTTTTTTCGGAAATCACACACACTGCATCCTCCAGGTTAAAGAGGAGGGGAACCATTTTGCTTATTATCAACGCACTGTTCAAAAGCCAGAATCCATGATGGTACTGAGGTGCATTAGTGCACATGACATGGGTGACTTGCACCTCTGTGAAGGCACCTTTAATGCTGAACAATATATACAAGTTTTGAAGAAATGTATGCTGCCATCCACACAGCGTCTTTTTCAGTGCCAAAACACTTTCCACACATATTACATCAGCATGGCTCCTTAGTAAAAGAGTCTGGGTACTAACGAAAACGATTGGTGCAATATGAAACAAAAAAATATGACAAAGGAGACCCCAAACTGTTGAGCAGCTGAAATCCTGTCAAACAAGAATAGGAACAAATTTAACTTTCAAAACTACAGTTAGCAAACAGAGTTTTGTTAAAAGAAGAGGTGATGCAACACAGCACAAAGCCCCTGTCCTAACATTTTTGAAACCTGACATCAAATTCAAAATGGGCATTTTTCAAAAAACAATAAGAATTCTCAGTTTCAACATTTGATTTTGCACAGCATCCCAACAGTTTCGGAAACGGGATTGTAAAATACAAGGCATTCTGGATGTAATTTTATTATTAAGTTAAATCTCAGTGTTTTAGACTTTTCTGAGTTATTACCGAATGATCTACATTCGGTAATAGCTCTGTTCATCTTTCTGAACACATAAATGTAAGCAGTAGTATAATAAAATAAAAAAGAAATCTTCAACAAATTGGTGATTTTAAACTTTTAAACTGTAGTGTATGATTTGTGTTAAGTTTGATTTACGTAACTTTTTCAAGTATTGTAATCATTTGAAATTCTATTCAGATCAATGGATAATTTTTTTTCTTACTTAAAGAAACTATGTATTCAGCTTAATATTGCACTTTAATACACCCGTAAGGCCAAGACAAACCAAAGCCATTTATTTCCTCTTTCCTTCCTTTTTTAACTGTTTTAAAAAGTGTTTTTCAAAGGCAAAGGCAGCACCAGCTGTATGTAGTAAATCTGTGGTGAGCTGGACAGAATGGGGCTGAAAATGGGGGAAAGCTTCCTGTGGTGCCTGAAACCCACTCCAAATCTATGACTCTCACATGAGCACTGTCAGCAGCCATGACTGCTTGGAGACTTACTTTCAGAGTTCAGTGAATGGATTACCAGTGTGAGCGGACATAAAGCCCTATGTACTACTGTACACTCTACTACTGTATAATGAATGTTGATTCTATGCTTGCACCAATACTGTTTTTACACAATTGACACCGATTACATTTTTTATACCAGTAACAGAATGCTATTGAGTAGCATAATTCCCAGTAAGTTTTGTTTGTTTTCTGCACAGTTAGAGTACAAGAAGACTCACCCTGACATAGTGAATGTTTGTTCGAGTGAGGATCCAATTATTACTTTTTATAAATATGAACTGACCAGTATATTGTTTGGTCAGTATAACTTTTGAGAAGTTTGGTGGTTTTATTGTTTTGATGCAGGTCCTTGCGGAAACTAGTAAGCAGTTATTACTCAGTGGCACACAATCATAACCAATAACCTATCATTGACTTTTATTACAGCAGTTATAATAGTTGCAGCAAGCTATAGGCCTAATGGTAAAATTGAGTACATCATAGTTAAAAAAACAAATAATGTGTTTAAAAATTTTTTAAAATGCATCCAGAGAAACCAGCAAAACCTCCAAGAATGCTGAGTTCTGTCTCCTTCATTTTAATATTTAATACATTTGACAGTTGAAAACCGCCAGTCATGTTAGAGCATTTGTTCAAAACTAACAGTAATATCAATCAGATAAGCACTGTTTAATTAAAACTATCAGTTTTTGATGATAAATTATATTGGCTGGTGTTCTTGTAATTTGTAAGATTGGCATCGGTGATTGTTTTTGTAGGAGTCAGGCCCTAATGCAAATTTATGCAGTTGACCAGATTGGCTTTTTCTTCCCTTCCTTTGAGAGTTGGACAGACTTACTGGGTTCTTGAGTATCGAGTTATGTGTAGGAAATGGAGGAATGCACCCCACAGATCTCTGCCCCAAGTATGTGCTGTCCCACTCAAACACATTCTCTTGCTGACATGTACTGCAGTTTCTGCTTTCCAACAAGAAAAGCTGTGACTGCCATTGGCCACGGGTCTCTGAGGACAGGCATGAATCATAATCACATCATTGAGCTAGGACTCTGCTGAATGTGTTGAGTGTTGACCTGGGTGTTGGCGGCCTAGAGCCGAGGTGAGAAGGGTAGCCCAGGACATGGCTGCGTGATTTGGGATGCCCTCTCTTAGAGTCACTTAGCCAAAGTGTCCTAGCAGCTCAGCAGACTCTTCCAGGAAGCTAAATCTTCTTTATGCTTCTCTTGGCTGCTCCTGTGTTTAGATTGAGTTGGTGCTGAAGTCCTAGGTGAGTGTATATGTGTGTGTGGAGTGTTTTGCACAGAGAATCATTCAAGCAGTGTTAACAGTGTGTTTGATACTCTGGCTCTCTGCGTAGTAAATCACTCCTGGATGTGTTTAAGTAGGGATTTGTCTGGTGACAGCTTTCTTCCAGGGTCACCTTCCAGTTCAGAAGAAGTCCTTTTGTCTATCTAAACATTTAGGCTGTCACAAGGTTAAATCAACTGCATTGTAATAGAAAGGTCATTTTCTCAGTCCAGATTGTTTTGAACTGGAAATTTGCTGAATGGCATAAAATGTTTGTGATTTTTCTTTTTAGTTTAATGCATCATCATTTGTTTTGTATCATAGTAGACATTTCAGTCGGGACATAGAAAACATTTCAGTTGAGTTGTCATTGCAATAATGCCACTTCAATATAAGTGGCTCCCTCAGTGACAGCCAGTGCTTGTGCTTTTCTCACCAGCGGCCCTGCACCTTTTAAAGATCCTATTCTAAAAGTGGGTCACACCACAAAGTAGGTGTTTGATTGGGCGGAAAAAGTGAGGACTTGAGCTGGGGATGATTTCATGCTGTAAAAATGCCAGTGGGACAAAGAAATGTTCAGCCCTCGTGATAACAAGTGTGCCATCCTTGGACATCTAACGCTCTTTTACCACTCGCATACACACCCATTCACCACTCTCAGGCTTTCCAGTTCAAGGCCCTTCTTTCAATGGCATGAAAGGAAACCCTGAACAAAGTGTGTGTTTGTGTGTGTGTAACACAGTAACTAATGGGATGCAAGGAAATGCTACTTTTACTACTAGCCTCCTCTAATGTGGTTTGCTCAGGTGTGAACAGAAATAAAAGTATTCACTGGCCACTTGTACCACCAAGCCAAAGAATCTTGATAATGTAAATATGTTTATCATTATACATATACATTATATTTACAACTAACAAACATGTTTCAGTATCAAAAAACACTCAGATGTTGCTTCGAAAAAGAAAATGTTTATTAAATTTTTTTTTATATATTTATAAGAACACTTCCAGTGTGGTCACTGTGATTGCACCCTCACCCACAATAAACCCACTGATATGGTCCCACCTGCTATTATGCGATCTAGGCTATATGACTAGGTACTGTTTAGCTACTGTAGTGATAGCCTCTTGGTGTAATGCCAGCTTAATGTAAGTCCTTATTTTACTTGATATTAAAACTTTAGCCAGTGAAACAGCATCTGCAGTGCTAGGCGGACCAGCTTGGCAGGACCACTGTGCCATCACCTTAGCCATCACAGTGGTTACCGCAAACGAGTTCTGACAAAATCTGATTTTATGCAGTCAGTTCTATGTATGACCAAAAAGGTTTATTAAAAATGGGAAAAGAACACGTTTAAAAAATCTTTACTTGACCACAGGCTCTGCATTGTTAGCGGCCAGAATGTGAAATGTTGTGGCCAGGCACACTGGGCAATAGGCAACACTATAGGCTTTGTTTATTTTCCAGTTTAAACCTTTGACATTGGACCACCCAGTTCCTGCCATTTTCTATTTGCTTAGTACTTGTATCAAGGTCAGGCAATCCCAGTAATTGACAGCCACAGCATAAATAGCTCATGAGTCAAATCAGAGTACACAAGGCAAAAGAGCAGTATTGTGCTGTACTGTGACCATACAGGATGTGTAATTATTGGACTCTCTCTCTGAATGCTATTCTTTAACAGAAGTTAACCTAATCTCTCTCTCTCTTTCTCTCCTCAGGGGGAAGTTTGCAGTGGTGAGGAAGTGTGTAGAGAGAAGCACTGGTCGAGAATATGCTGCAAAGTTCATGAGAAAGAGGAGAAAGGGCCAAGACTGCCGAACAGAAATCATTCATGAGATTGCTGTGCTGGAGCTGGCAGCATCCTGCCAACGAGTGGTGAACCTGCATGAGGTTTACGAGCTTCCCAGCGAGATGGTGCTTGTTTTGGAGTTGTGAGTATTCACACCTGGAAATGAGTGGTTATGAATTGATGGATGAAAGACTGAGGAAGGATCAGGTGATCCTCATGAACCAATTAACTAGTTAATTCAAAGCACTCTAAAAAATTAGCATGTCAGTTAATTCATCAGGACAGGAAAAGCATAAAAAGCACACACAAATTACAAAATCATAGCTCCCTTTTCATTATGATGCACACACTGTAGCAGAATTATATCATCCCAGTAAAACATCCAGTGGTGAAACTAAGATAAAATTTTAATCAGAACAAGAATTTAGAGAGATTCAAGCATGAATTTCAGCATTGGCCCAATATCTCATATTGTGGTGAGAATATATTGGAATATGTAAAAACTAAACCACTGGATACAAATTCAGAGCAAAGTCTGTGAACAAGACGGCTAGACGAACCAGAGACTGTCAGTTGCATAGGATAAAGATGGAAATGGCAAAAAGGATAATAGAAAAAGAAGCATTAAAATGAGAGAAAGCAAGAGAAAGAATTCTTCTGTAAAGCCCAGAGCGATTACGAACACGCCTCAGTGAACAGTTGATATTCCAGAAACGTGCAGCACTCCTCTTGTTCCAACCCACATTCCCTCCTATGAACCACTGTACTGCCTCTTACTCACTTAACAGAGGCATGGGTGGGCTCATTCGGACAATGTATGATTAGGTACTGACTGGCATATTCGGTTCCCCCGCAGCCACAAACACAAACATTCTGAGCTGTTGAGTGTTTCCAGCCTCTACAGACAGGAAGGTTCATCACGGTATATTGCAGCTGTTGTCTCACCCACGCTTTATACAATAGGGACATTTGAAGATCCTAACAGACAACTTTTCTCCCCATCCACCTGACCTAGTTTCTTAGCTTTTTGATAACATGTGAAGCATGCCTATATAACATACAATGCTGTGAAAAAGTATCTGCCCCCATCCGATCTCTTCTATTTGTGCTATTTTGTCACATTAAACAGATCATCCAGCTAATTTTAATGTAAGATAAAGACACGATTAAACACAAAATGCATCTTTTAAATGATTATTCCATTTAACGTTTGCAATAACTTGTGATGCGTCTTGTACATAGCTGTGGCGAAATTTTGCCCTCCTTCTTCTTTTGCAGAATTGTTTTAATTCAGATACATTGGAAGGATTTCAAGCATGAACTGCCCATTTAAGGTCTTGATACAGCGTCTCAAAGGGATTCAAGTCAGGATTTTGACTTGGCCACTCCATAACCTTCATTTTGTTTCTTTTGAGCCATTCAGAGGTGGACTTCCTTGTGCGCTTCGGATCATTGTCCTGCTACATAACCCAACTGCGCTTGAGCTTAAGGTCACAAACTGTTGGGTGGACGTTCTCCTTCACGATTTTCTGATAGAGATCAGAATTCATGGTTTCATCAGTTATGACAAGCCGTCCAGGTCCTACAGAAGCAAAGCACCCCCAGACCATCACACTACCACCACCATGTTTGACTATTGGAACGATGTTCTTATGGTGGAATGCGGTGTTAGCTTTACGCCAGATGTAACGCGACCCATGTCTTCCAAAAAGTTCCACCTTTGACTATTCAGTCCACAGAATTTTATTCCAAAAGTCTTGGGGGTCATCTTAAAGTTTTTTGGCAAATGCGAGACAAGACTTTGTGTTCTTTTTGGTCATCAGTGATTTGCGCCTTGCAGCTCTCCCATGGATGCCATTTTTGCCCAGTATCTTTCTTATTGTGGAATCGTGTACACTGACCTTAACTAAGGCAAGTGAGGCCTGCAGTTCTTTAGGTGTTTGTCTGGGTTCTTTTGTGACCTCCTGGATGAGTCGTCGATGCTTTGTAACCCTTTCCAGACTGGTAGATTTCAGTGACGTTGTTTTGCATCTGTATTTGAATCTCTTTAGAACGTGGCATCGTGTGTTGCTTTTTGAGACATCCTAGGCTGCTTCACGTGGCCAGACAGGTTCTATTTAAGGGATGTTTAGATTCAACAGCTTTAGCTGTAGTCGTGCCTGGGTGTGGCCAGTAAAATTGAACCCAATTGTCAGTTGAATTTGGTTAACCGGTTGATTTAGTAGCTAAGGCGGCAGTTACTTCTTCACATAGGGCCAGGTAGGGCTGAACAGCATTAGTCCTTCAATAAATGAAATCGTCATTTAAAAACAGCATTTTGTGTTTACATGGGTTATCCTTGTCTAACATTAAAAGTAGTTCGATGATCTAAAACTTTCAAAAGTGACAAACATGCAAAAAATAGAAGAGATTGAGAAGGGGGCAAAGCATTTTTCACAGCACTGTATACTTTTCCGCTCTGTTTTTTTCTTTCATAATGTCAGCATTGTCCTCATAACAAGCTATAAACAGCTCAAAAGTAGAACATTCATGTAATGGTCACCTTTGACAATGGCGGTCATCATTCAAAGTGTGATTAGACTAAAATCACATTAGTGTATTTAAAGCTAAGCTTCCATGTCGTGGTTATTTTTATATTGTTTGTTTATTGTACTTGTGCAGTTTGTAAACGTTCAACATAGCCATAGCCTTTTATAGGCTTTATATCCTCAAATATGTGTCAGCCTTAATATTATTCTTATTATTATTATTATTATTATTATTAACAACCGCCACCATCAGGATATGGCCATGTTGTGGCTTGGAAAGCAAGAGAGGACCTTGGTGTAGATCCTTGGTGTACACCACAGAGAATATTTAGACTTTGAGAGACGTTGCTACTGAGACTAACAAAGGATTATTATTGCTCTTTGGTATTATGATTGGCAACGTGGTGCATAAGATATCAGCTGAAATGTGGAGATGAGCAAGTTTGTAAGTGCAGCTGCCATGAAATGTTACAGCAGATGTTCTGCGATACCATTCACAGAATATGCTCTTGCTGCCCTCATACAATTGTTCCTGTTCTTCACAAAAGTCATGAAGGCTGTGTTAGGGCACAGCAGCATATTTTGTCTGCTGCTGCTGCACTCTCCAAGTCTTTTGGCTTAACACTGCAGTACTGTAGTGTTTCCTCGGCCATTTGACCAACTGTATAGGTTAAAAGAGTTAATTTAGTTTAATTTCCAATAAACAACAGATCCTATTTAAACAGACAGGTTCATCGCTCAAGTTGCGGAACGTTTTTGAATCGTACATACAAGGAACACTTTTTAATATTGTGGTATATTAATACAGAATTAATGCAAAGTATGTGTATATAAAGTATTTTACAGCCAGTCAAAACTTGAACTACCTGTTTTGTAGTTATTTTGATGATATTTTGATGGATCATGTCCTTGATTTAAGACTAGCATGTTAACAGTTAATGGCCGACTAAAGTTGGTCGGTTTTCAGTTAAATAAATTTGCCAAGTTTTGCATCCCTACCCCTGGTTAAATTGAATAAGGTAGGCTTAACGGTAGAGATAAATGTAAGCCCAAATCCATGAAGAGAGACAGGCTGTGAGAAACCTGAACTGGAAATTTAAACCCAGTCCAAGCCCAACAAGAATTTGAGAAATGATCTGTGAACCCAATGGGACCCCAGTGCTTGCGGTGACTTCCAGTGTTCAGACCTGTCTTCAAACCCCCTGGCCCCTGTGCAGGCCTGGTTCAGAGGGCAGGATGAGCGAGGTCACTCTCATTTCCTCTCACCCACCAGTGAATGGCATGTGCTCAGTTGGCTCAGCTTCAAACCCATTATCTGCCCACCCTCATAACCGTCCCCCAGCAGCAGCTGGACTTGTGATGAGAGCTGTTCATCAAAATGGAATTTGGGCTTTCTAGAGTGCCATTGATAAAGCCAACTGTACAGCAACAAATCTGTTTATAGCCCACATCAAGAGACTAGAATACTTCTAGGCGTTGTTGAATGTATTCATTTGTGTGAAAGAGAGAGTCAATTCAAAGGATCTTTAGAATCTTTAGGAGACCAAAATGGGTTCTATGATATCATGCCAAATAACCCTTTTAGCACCTTTATGTTTAATAGTGTAAGACAGTGGAGAAAGGGCAGATGCTTTTAGCTTATACAGTGATGTTTGCAGTTGTCGTTAAAATGTCAAGAAAAAAAACTGACAATCCAAGTGAGCCAGAGTGGTGAGAGAACATTTAAGATTCTCCCAACAATCAAATACAGGCATGGAACAGAACCCAGTTGTTTGTTTTTGTATTTGTTTGTCCAGTCACTGTACTTTTTCCTTACCAGTTGTTCACTCCCTCACTTTCCTTGTTCAGCAACTAAAGTGTAATGAAGTGTTTTACCCAGAGAAAGCCTCACTGCAGAAATGGTGTGGAGCACAGATGCCACAACCTTCAACACTCAGACTTAAAGTCCAGAGCACACTAACTGAACAGTGTCTGTCAAATACAAACCAAATGGTTGGTGTCATACCTGTGTATGATTGATTGAGTTTTAGAGTTTAGAGTTTTAGAACGTTTTTCCCCCTTTACCCCTTTTCTTGTTCATCAACCTGTCCTAGGATGTTCTTCCCCCTTGAACATTGTTCAAGAATGCTCTCCCCATCTACACAGTTCTATAATGTTCTTTCCTGTTCAGTTTTAGAATGTTCTGCCCATTCATACTGTTCTAGCATATTCACATTATACTATATTATACAACAGTTAGTTCCGGCCACACAGGCTGATTGGTTGAGAAGTGTTCTAACTGTGCTGATATTTCGCCATAACATCACAGGTTTTTCACAAACACTCTATCACTCCGCTGAGACGCTGTTGCTAAGCAACAACTTTGACAGCTGTAGGAGACGTTCAAGCCATTTGAACGTTTTTACTTCTTACTTTGCCACAAAAAGAAAATGGATACTTTTAAGATCACATTTGGCCGACAGCCGATTTGGTCAGACTCTGAAGATGAGACTACACTAAATTCTGAAACTGTCAGTTGGTCTGTGTAAGGAGCTGAAGAACGTACTGCCGGCTGTGCGGCGAGTGAGCGGAGCTCATTACTCTGACGTAGCAACAAGCTGCTGGTTAAGGAACT